GATAGATAGATAGATAGATAGATAGATAGATAGATAGATAGATAGATAGATAGATAGATAGATAGATAGATAGATAGATAGATAGATATCCCACAAGTGTGAGTGAAGATTGTATTTCTAACACATCACAGTAAAGTAGTTCTTATTAATAAAAGTTTATACAAAATCACCCACTTGGCTCTGTAACTTGGTATCAATAACTCTTGGTATTGCTATTACGGACAGTCACTGATGAGAAATCAAAGTTATATAGGCAGTTTCACAGACTCACCAGGCCAATGCTTCTTTATACTTGCCCAATGCAGCATACATACGGCCTATATTGTCCAAAGCTCGTTTTTTGGCCAGCATTATATTGCTGTGCAGCGCACGAAGTTTGAAATGAAATGATAAAGGTGATCCAAAATCATGATGAATTGTAAACAAACAAACAAAATGTAAAAAACATCAACGACGGTGTTTGAACTTCAAGCCAATTGAAACTTGCAAACGGGCGATTCTGATAAAAGCCCTTTAAAATGAGCTGGTATTGTTTCGTGATCATGAATAGGATCACTTTTAATTACAACCAAAACTTACAAACAAAAGTCTGATCAAGAATGCCTTCATGTAGACATGGTAATGATCTATCGAATGCAGAAAGAAATCTACTTTGTCGAATGTTGCTAATCTCACTCTGTGATATCCAGTTTGAGGCCCTGCGTATTGGTTTTAGCACTTATGTACAACACAATAAGATGAATCGAAAAGATCCGCTAATTTAGTTATTCAATCCAAAGTCACAATGATGAATCTTGCTAACTAAGTCTGTGTTCTTGATCAAAGAATGTCTAGTATCATTTTGGTAGTACATTGAAAAAATAGTTTAGAGACTAGAAGAAGGATCTGTTGCCATTATAATGAAGTAATATGACAGGCAAAAAAAAACAAGTAATCTGAAATAGAATCGGATTGGGTCCTGAACGTTCCGAATCTGAGCAAATAGCACGTAAATCACGTAAGTTGCTTAAGGATGGTTAAAATATTGGCATTGCATTTACTAAAATCATAACTCGAGGCTCTCGGCCACCTCGTCGGTACCGACTTCTTAATGCTCATAAAGATGCAGATCCATCACGGCTCAAACCATCTATGTTGGGATTACCCCACCGAATAATTGTGCCATATTTAGTGGAACCCATCCTGCCAGGGGAGCTTACTTCATCCGAATAAACTCATTTGGATTATCATTACAAGGAAACAAATATCGCGAGATGTCAACGTGTGGATTAGTCTACAAATCGATAACTTCAATGTTTTTCACACCTATGTAATGATATTTGTTTCCTATTCGCCAATGTCCCTAATTCTGAAAACGCTGAAATTGTTCATATGCTGATGAACTAAAAATTTCGTGATATATCCAAACATAATTAAATCTAAGAACTAAATGTGTACAGTTCTTTTTAGCGGAAATTATCATTGAAAAAGAGAAGGAACTGCCATGGAAAGTTTACTAGCATCAGTTTTATTGGATAGATTCAAGGAACACTTGAAGAACACAAAACTATGCTAAGGGATAGATAACCTACAAGCCTACAGCCGCGTGGTTGATGGCACGTTTAACATATTGAATGACAGCAAATATGCATGCTTAATACTTAAAATTCCCGATCATTTATATTGGAGAATAGAATTTTCGGTTCTGTATCAATCTTGGGGTTCATTTCTTTTACCAAATGCCAAACTTTGATAAACAAGACTGTATTCCATTGAGCTGAGTCGGATGAAGGAATGTGTCTTAGTTTCCGAATTTTCTGTTCAATGTGATAAAAACGATCGTCGATACAGAATTTCCAAATATATCCGTCTGAGTTCAGTATGTGGAATAATTTTTATAAAAATAAAAGATACCACAAGTTTTTAACGAGATTACCTCAAAATAGTTGAATCTAATACAATCTGTAATCGTGATGCTGCTTCTTGCTCTCAAGAGAAGAAAACCTACGAACAGTAACTCTCAGTTTGGATTGTTGATGATTAGAGGATAAGCTTTCGGAAACACTGGCATATCACTGTTTCTAAATTTTGATTCCCTGCACTTTATTGATGACCTCAATTGAAAAATATATTATTGAAATCAGTTGCTTTTATCAGTAGATCTTTTGAAAAAGGAACAGGGTTGAAAAAATTTACTGCCCTACAATCGAAGCATGATAACCTTCATAAATTCCCCTCCGTTGTTTTTGATTCACTCAAGAATAATTACTAGTTATTTTCCTATTTTATTTTATTAATTTAATATAAAATGATATCGTTAGTTTTATTGACGGAGTTGCTGTCGAGCAGAAGCTGCTTGGTAGGTTTTTTAACTCAGATTCATAGATTCATCAATTAGCGAGCCAAACGAGTAACAACTGAGAGTAACGAAAACGAGTCGAATGATTGTCCAAAATGGAACGGATTTAACTATCTACGGAAAAAATCTTACGCATGCTCAGCCAGTCTGGCATCCATTTGAAAGAAAACAAGGGCGGCTTTATATCGTTTCATACCGTCTAATGACATTCCAATCAAATAGCACAGATCAGATTGGAAGCGCCACTTTAGCGCACCTGGACGGGAACCGGACCATTTCTCGATCGCAGTCAAAAGCACTGCAGCCTCGTGTGCGGCTTCTCGGAACTGTGACCTAAGATGTACTGGTCGACAGAAGAAAATATGTAAAATGCGGAATACAAATGATACAAACATTCTGATGGTAAATAGCAATCACCTAAATCCGGGTAAATAGGGTAATTTTCCACGTGGAATAAAACTTAACACACTTAACACTTGATACCGTTGAATACCTTGTTCATCCAATAATTTCGGCTCTAATTAGGAAAAGTAAGACCGTCCGAATGATGTTCTTAGACTACAAAAACGCTTTCGTCAGTCTTGATCGATCGATATTGCTAAACCTGATTCCCGAATGTATGCGTGAATGTGTGCGTGCTCCCCCACTGGTTCTGTTTCTCCCCAGTGATGTTCCCCAGTATGCTGAAGCAGGACTTTCATTTACTGGCGAGATGTTTTTAACAAACTTCCAAATGTAGTGGCATTATCAGGTATAAACTCACAGACTCTATCATAGTGAGGCATCTACAAGCATGTGGAAATTCCATTGCCAAAATAAACTCAGACACTCGTCAACCCTTACTAAACGAATTTTCAAAAGCTGCATATACATTATCCACACGCTGAAGGTTGAAAATTTTGTTTGTACCTATCTCTTCATATCGAAATTCTAGCACGGCTATTTATTGACAAGTAGAAGGTTTCCGCAAAGTTACGCAATTGCTTGCGCTGTGGAAAAAGACTATCTACTGCTTTCAGGTTCAATGTCTATGATGTTGTAAAGTTGAAATCCGCAAAGATGGTTTAAATGCTGAAAATTAACCCATCCAGATGCACAAAGCTACTATTGACTTGACTTTAAAAACATGACCTACTACTTTATGTGAAAAAAGGCTATTTTCAGAATCTCCTAAAATCACTTTTTTGGGCTACAAAACAGTGAATAACTAACTCGCCTACTCCCGGTTCACATTGAGGATCAGGATCTAGGTTCTAAGTTAGACCCCTTTTGGGTTTACCTATGTTACTATCTTATTTTACCCTATATCTAGATATATATGCGACTCTTTCTGGCCCGCAACGGTTTTTGGAACCTGATCTCGAGCATGTGCCAAGTAGTACCATACGCCTGAACACATGAGCAGTTGATCCGTTAATACATCGAATTGATCTGTAGTAAAACCATTTGAGATCCATTTTGTTTTACTTGTGTAATGTTTTGTAAATATGCACAAAGTCTTCCATCACTGGTTCACCATTCAACTGTTTTGAAAACTCAATTGAGGGAAATCCTAAAACTGAAATCAAGCAGGATAGGACTATGGAGCACGAAATCGTTTGTGTGCACTGTTTTAACTACAAAACTGATTAACAAAACCCCCTATTTCTGACTAGTAGATACCATTCAATCAAGGATAAAAATTTATTTACAAAACCGAAATCCTAAATGAAAACAGGTCAGCTTCATTCTCGAAGGTAACGTTCTGCATTCAGTGAGTGGATATGAATGATATTTTTTGACAGATACTCTCAGTTTTCAAGAAAACCATTGTGTATCACCAAAGAACACGGATTCCTCTTAAGGTATGATGGGGTATATCTTTTTCCATTAGTTAAACTCTTAGCACAACACTTCAAGTAAAACCGAAAACATCAGGTGCACAAATGAGATACGTGCATTGCCATATTTGAGTGATCAGCCGACTGGTGTTTGAAAAGCGTTCCCGATAGAGCGTCTGTCGCTTGCTCATCCTTTCCTTGAATTTACGGGCGGTCAGTTCTTGTATAAGATGCCACTGGTCCATGCACACATTTGCTACGTAATGCTTTTTAAGGTTTTCTAGTTCCTCTGAAACGGTGCAATATACATGGGGCAAGAGGTTGTGGACAGAAAATGGTAGACGGAAAAGGTACGCGATAAACTGAATGGGTGAAATATATTCGCAACACACCAACATTTTCTGTTCATTGCCTGTTTTAACGGGATTATCTAATTGATGCATCCGCGGCAGTTCCATCGCCTTTCAGTTGATCTCGCTTGCTTACACATGCACCCGTGCTAGCTCACTATCACCATAGATAATTTTTACATACACCTGACCCCTCTGGGTTGTTGTCAAACTCATCTATAAAATGACAGTCCTTTATGAATCTGTTTCTTCTCACTTCATTTATTTATCTTTTGGTCATATAAACTCTTTACTGCTTGCCTGATTCACAATCTCTCTCCAATTCATTTCCCAGAAATATTATTTTTCTGTGTAGTTTTTCTGATTTTTGCCTTAGTTTGCATTCAAACAGAAAGCAGTTCTAAACGCATTGCCAGTTGTTGGTACATTAGCTGTTTGTTTGATATTGCGGATAGTACCCATTGGAAGGGTTTGAACTGCACTTAGCAATGACGTAAAACCGAACTCTGCAGAGTCTCCGTGAATTCCAAAACGTTATCAACATTTTCTTCCTGGTAACGGCAGAAGTCGTTAGCTATTTTCGTTTAGTTAGCTACCAATGTTATGGAGAAATTTGCTTCTGAGAGAAGATATATTTTTATACAACATCCGTCAAGTTATTAAACAACCCACTGACCCGATTATTATTATTATCCCAGCAGAAAGTAATTCGACAGCTTTATTTACACTAAAATCGTCTGTCTCAGTTGATGGAGTTCGTGTAAAACGATCTCTTTGAAGGTATTATGGATTGCCTTCAGTCACTCTATCATCCAATAGCCACCCAAAATAACTGCCAGCAGATCAGATATCATATAATCAGAGATTACAAACGCTGACAATCCATTAGATGTACATTCCGATCTGTTCCCGTAGAAAGTATAGCACGAACAGCCAGTTACCGGTTTCCATGATACACACTCCGGCAACTCTGTTAGCCGTTATTGGTTCACACAGGAGGATGGCCAACCGTTAACTACCGTGCCCAAACTTCCCCAGGACTCACAATACCAATCAATTCGTGTTCAGCGTGGATTGAAACTCCATCTCTCGGTTAGTACTTTATTTACATCAGTGCAATACATTCCACCATAAATTTATTGCACCGTCCTTGCTTTTTGGATTTTCTACGTCCCCACATGTACGATCACCGTTTTGGAAAATCTAGATGGGACCCAAATTAGACAGCGAAATACGAAACTTCATCAAAATATCTTTTAAATTAACGAAAATATATCCAAAAAACAACATTTCCAACGAGACAAAACTAATGTACCACATGGACCTGACCCATTGCAGCCACTTTAATACGATTAATACTTTTTCGATTCATGTCCAGGATAATTTCATTCCACTCCTTGATCAACGACGTGCATAAATCATGTTTTGAGGGTGCACACTATGGACTTTCGAGTGAGGATAACCCAAATGTTCATATTTGATTCAAATTCGGCGGTAACATTGTTTTGATCCTGAGAAATAATAAGCTTTATTTCTCTAGATTAGAGTTATGAACTACGGTGTTATCGTGAGGAAAATCATTTCAGGTTAAGTATTTGATGTCTTTGTTGGCACGAGGTGCTGCTACAATGCACAACAATACGCACCAGGTTTTTTGCATCCCTTTTAGCAATAACGAGTTCGGTGTGGTTGATAAGTCACTCCGTACCATCACGGAGGTTCGATCGATAATTACCTCAGTGAACTTTCAGTCAGTTCTACTTTTACAACTAATAAACGTTCATTTCCATGCGCCAGTGTTGTTTATTGTATTTTGGCCGCCCATATGGATGAAAAAGCAGAATAAGGATTGAAATGTTTAGAGCAGTGTCATGGTGAAGATGGAAGATTCATACAGACTGATTTGCAGGAATGACCAGTAGATGCCTCTCTTCTTTCCACAGATCATTTATATTGAAATTCGACGATGTGGGCCCATATAAGTCATATTTCCTTTCACTGCTAACTGGAGGCAAGAATAAATCCATGGAAGTAACAGTTGGTTTACTGGAATAAATCGAGCAAATTAAACATTATATACACTCGAAGATTATTGATTTCAGAATATGATAACCAATCATTATTTGAGTTCCTCTATCTGTAGTATTCCTGTCTGAGCCTCATAGGATAAACTGGTTCATAATAGAAGGTTGTGAAGCTGTTGCACGGGGCTCTCTGACTGACAGTACCCCGAAGCATTGAATTACCGCAACTCTGTTATCTGACATGAGCATCAAAACAACATGAAGTTGACGATCCCAAATATTCCAAACCGTATGAGACAGACGCTACGGTACGTGGATAAAATGATGTCGTGATCTCAAACAAGAGGATATACGACCACTGGAAGAACCGAAACCTCATTCAGTTAAACATTTGTAGGTCACATAGTAAAGTAAGCCGAATTGGAGGAAATTCTTTTGTGAGGAAGGTTGTGCTGAATAGCAGCACGCATGCATGCACCCCAATCCTGATTTCAGACAGCTCAACCAATCTGGTGAGCCCAAGCATACTGTGTTGGACTGGATTAATGCCCCAAAGCTCATAAGAGGATCATACGGACAACGATTGCAAGGAAAAAGAGAAACCAGTGTCTGATTAAAAATTGTGAAATTTGCATAATTTTTCGAATAGAATTAAGTGCATGGTTCTACCTGTGATAATTCAAACTCAACGTTTCTGTTGTATCTCACTAAAATTACCACTGAACCTGCTCCGAACGCTCGCAGTTGAAAGATGGTTTGCAAACAGTGCAAGTCTTTATTGGTAATACCAGCCAAACGTGGATTGAAAAACGAAGAAACGTGCGATATATATGTGGTCGATCAAAGTCTAAAGACATTTTTCCGGAATCGGATTTAGAAGGGCGCCGATAACGAGAACACAGAATTACGCTTCATGGACCCAGGAGAATACACCGACAGGTTCTCACGGAGGCTGCTGATCCCAATTCATTTCAAATGCAAACCGTGAGAATTCTCAAGGGAAGGTTAGGCTTCCAGAAGCAGTTCCAGTGAAATCTTTCATCAATGTCTGAAAGCCTATGCATACAACATTCGTCTTCGATCCCTTTATGAGACTTTCTATAATTTTTTTTTTGTTTAAGCCCACTGAATGTGTGGATTACCTTGAACATATAGCTGCGCACAGTTTAACCCCGGGACTATAACCAGGTTGGTAAACCAC